CGTCCATGTCAATGTGGAACACTAAAGAAAAAAAAAAGAGAAAAAGATAAGAAAACTTTTTATTTCATTATTAACATGTGGGGCCTACTAATATATATCATGCTATTGTGATAAGTTTGAAAAAAAGTTGAAGAAGTTGGCACTGTGACATAATAATGATGCATGTGATATATGTTCACACTAAACAAATATATTCGGATAAGCTTTAAAAGCTAATCGAGTTTGAGTTTGAGGTAGTTCGGTATAACAAAAACATTCTTAAAATTTTGAATCTATCTTGAAATTCAATGCTACCTAACATTTTAAATCTGAATAAAAATGTTTTTATTTTTGTTGATATTAAAAAATTACTAAGTCTATGTGGCGCACAAGCCGAGTAACTAATAAGCTAACTACATCAATCGGTTATGTGCGAGACGTGCCAACTCAACGGCCGAACTTGACCGAGGAGTAAAATATATTGATGTGGCGTTGAGCGCGCTGCTGACTTCTTGATCTTGCGACTGTGGCCGAGGAAGGAACACGTCTCGGCCTTCGGGTTCTAGAGCTTGAAGACAAGGCTGCTAGTTTTGCGAAGTTCAATATCAGATTCGGCTTTCAATGTGCCGAATATAGTAACCTGGTAACACCTCACTTCGTTGAGAAGACTGATGAGATGAGCTTTACCAATAAGGACTTGAAAATCCTTGTTGACTGAGACTTGTATAGGTAATTAGTCGACTTTGAAGCAATTTTGTTTATCCAAACTAAAGGTACTCCACAATCGGCTGACTCTAAGGCAACAGTGTTGTTTATCCAAACTGAAGATGTCACCGGTTAGCTTCATAGTGATGTTTATCCAAACTGAAGATGTGTTGGCGGGAAAAAAGAAAATAAAAATCTCAAGGTTGTTAAAAGTGCTAAGTCCATGGATAGTCTTATTGAGATTAATCCATAAGGCATCTTTATAACTTATTAATACATTTGGTAATTAGTAAGTAATTTTCAACAATTGGATTACCTTTTTGTACATCATTTGAATGATATAAACTGATGAGACAAAATAATTTGTTGAATCCATTCTCGTCATTTAGCCGTTCTAGACTTAGGTAGAGTTTGTTGTGCCTGTGAGTATGATTCCCATCATTGAGCTTTGGTCTTCCATTCACTTGACCACCCTTTCACTTTCTCCCTTTGAACTTCTATGCATTCATAGTTGATCCTTCAGCTTCAAACTCGTGTATAACAGGAGTGGTGCACAACCCTTGAGCATCGGCTTATGCAGCCAAATGGTTAAGGACAAGTATTATTTTTCATTAGAAAACAAAAATAAAAGTGGCCAAACCATAATGAAGAGGAGGCCAATGATGTTTTACTCTGAGCTAAAATATTTTTGTATAAAAAATTTTCAATTCGACCTCGCTCAAGTCGAATAAAGGATTATCTCTAATTATTCTTGACTTGGCAAAATGTTTTCAATTTTCGGCCGCCAAACGCGTTGAGTTATTATGCCCCGAGCATAATTACTTTGCAAATTTCGAATTTTATCTCGAACAACTTAGCCGAACAAGATTGCTCCATATCGAGGGTATCGCCAATAACCATATCAAAACTGACATGGCTTCTTCGTTTGAAGTCATGTTTTGGCTTTGGTCGTCATCTAAGCATTTATTCAACGAATTACCTTCTGAGTCAATTTTTATATTTGGCATAGAAACTTGAATATTTTCTTCCAGGCCAACCATATTTTCCTTTTCAAATGACAAAACAAGTCGCCTAAATCTTTCCTCGGCCAAATTGACAATCTTCATAGGTTGAAGCTTGATTGTGGCAAGATCAGAAAATTGAACCTCGGCTTTTCGATCCAACCAAACTTTGAAGGAAATTGACTTGTATGCAAAAACAAAAGGAAAAAAAATTTCCTCAGCTAGCCATGCATTAAAATGGGCTTTATCTTCTTTTAACCATTGTTCTTACAGTGCGCTATAAGCTTTTACTTTTATCATTTTGGAGAAAGATTTTTTCCTTTCTTCATGTGCGTTATGTTTCGCCTCATGCTGAATTCGAAGGTCGTCCAATCGGCTGACTAAAGCTGGATTCATAATATAGGAATATCATATAAGCTTTGTAGTATTAGCAGTAGATCCCACCGAGCGTGAGAAAATGTTGCCCCAAAAAATACCAAGACTACATGCTGCGCAGACCGAGTAATAAACAAGCTAAATGCATCTTTCTTGTGAATGAGAGCATGCCAACTCACGACCAAACTCGGTTGAGCGAGTAGAATAGATGTGGTGGCGATGTCGAATGCGCTGCTGACTTCTCTTCTCGAGCAATCACAACAAAGGAAGGAACACATCTCGGCCTTGAGTTTTCACTGTGCTGAACATTGGGTAACCTCATGACACATCACTTTGTCGAGAAGCTAATGAGATGACATCTTTATAAGAAAGAGTTGGAAACTCTTCACCTGCTAAGACTTGAATAGATAACCAAATAACCATAAGCAATGTTGTTAATCCAAACTAAAGATGTCGCCGATTGTCGATACAATGCTGTTAATCCAAATTGAAGATGGGTTAACGGAAAGGTCATGATATTTAGTAATCTCTCAGGGTGTGAGAAAAGTTCATGTAGAGCGAGATCATGTGTAAAACGTTTGTTTGTTTGTTGAATTACAGGGTTTTTATTTTCTCGTTGCAGAGCCACTTCTATTTCTAGAATGGCTATAATTTGGCGATAAGTCATGGGAAATGTTATTGATACTTCAAAATTCTCATCTACACTCTCCACAAGTATATTTTCCTTTTCAAATATAAAAAGTTTAGAATATATAATCAGAATTTTAAAGTACCAATAATAATTTTCTAAGTTCCAAAGCTAATTCGAATTGCAGCACGCTCCCAGAGCTTTTTCCCATTTTACTGTCTGATTATCTGATGCCCAAGTTCAGATAATAGAAGTTTCCAAAGATAGAAAAAAAAAAGTTCAGATAATATTTCAAAACAAATCACATTTGGGGCTACGTGCCCGGTGAGATTTACTTCCCCTTTCGGATGAGACTTTAGGTTTGATAAATCCATCTGCTAATGTTTTAAAAAAAAAAAAACAAAACAAAACAAAAACAAAAAGAAAAAAGAAGTCCATCTGCTCATTCTTTCTTAAGAAAACTAATGAAAAGGGTTTGAAAACTTTGAGTTTTAACGATAAGGACAAAATAAAAGGTAAAGTAAATAGTACTATGATTGATTTTTTAGTGTTAAATTATAGTTTTTCGTTAAAGTGAACAACACCGAAAACTTTTCGTTAAAGTTCCTTCTTTCTTTGCCTCATATGTTGCATGCATATCCACAAAAGAAAAATCTCAAACCCACTTAAATGTGCTACCCACCATCTCCATGCAGTCTTCTCGGAGATAGCACGCGTGCTTATCACCAAACCATTAACACAAGCTAATCACAACCCATCCATTCTTAACAAAACAATACTTAGCTACTCAAAGATGATTAGGAACTCCAAATTAAATTTTTTAGTGTTTTAATTACAGAGTTTTGTGCTTATAATCAAAACCGTTCATATTATGAATCACACTGTAAAGATTATCTCTGCAAAAAATAAATTAAAACTAAGGTTGTTTAGTCAATCTATTGTAGCAATACATAAACGTTTCGTAATGCTTTTATCAATACTGTTCATTTGTTTTTAAACAGTTTGATGACTAAACGACTTTAGTTTTAATTGATTTTTTGCAAATGTGATCTTTATAGAGTGATTTATAATATGAACGATTCTGATTATAAACACGAAATTCTATAAATTGACAACGAACAATTTTGAGAAATTTTAAGTTGGAGTTCTCGCTCATCTTTGAGTAGCCAAATATTGTTCTTCTTAACCTCTACAATTTTTATCCATCAATGGAATGCACGGCATGGATGATCATTATGTTGTTGTTGAAAATGTTTAAGATGATTTTATACAACATTAAAAGATAATGATTATGATTGAAAATCACAACATTATCCTTCAATAATCACATTAGAATAATTATGAGAACAACTCTCACATCCAACAGTCTATGACACCATTCATCCAATGACCTCGATTGCTTGGGTTGTTCATTTAATACTTGGTACAAACAATATTAAATCGGAATTTAATTTTTTTTTATAAAATCAATAAAAAAAAAAGTTAATTAAACACCCGCTCCTATTTATTCATTATGTATTAGTAAACGTGAACAAGTAAAATATTAGAATAATTCTCTTTCCTTTCATATTCACAAAAGTCATGTATATTCTTTTAAATAAATTGACATTTTATTACAAAGGATGTTAATTGTTACCAAATTCGTTGATTTGTGCAATACATATAGGCGACTCATAATCTCTAAATTTAAATGAGTATTTGCAAGATGATCTCTACTTGATGGTTAAAAAAATGAACAGTTTCAATTGTAAAATTATATGGTAAAATACCCACACTCTTACGACTCAGGTTGAATTATATCATTGTGGGCTGAAAACTATTCGGCTTGTGAAATCGCCATTGGGCCGAAAATCAGGAGCCTTCAACTCTGAGTTATCTTTTCTCAGCCTCAACAACCTACTTACTTAGTGACTGACCATTATGGAGAGATTTTTCAATGTAACCGTCATACGGGATGGTACAGCACATATCATTATATAAGTGATGAGATATGAGTGTTAAAATATTAATAACTTAAAAAATAAAATTTCTCACTATTTACATAAAAACACGTGGTGTACCATCGATATTTCTGTCACAATTAAAAATTTCTCGATCATTATGTGGTAGCCCAAATCTCCTTTCCTTCTTTAGTAAAATATCTGCACAAGTTAACAAAAATAGGATGTATAAGAAAATTCAAAATTGTATCTCCAAAATGTAACACAAATAGAATTGTATTACCAATAAAGAAAGAAATACAATTTTTCTTTTAGGAAAAATCCAAGATGATCCAGGAAAATATACCCAGAAAAAGAAGAGCATTTATTCTAGACTTTTCATTTGTCCTCTATTTAAGCGGGTACATTGAGTGAGTGGTCACGTCCCTGCATTTTCATGGTGTAGCACTGCTTGTCAGTGGCAGAGACCAGAGAGAGGGGGAGAGAGAGAGAAGGGAGAGTGAGAGGAAGAAGAAAATGGCAAAATCACCAGAAGAAGAACACCCACAGAAGGCTTTTGGGTGGGCTGCCAGAGACTCTTCTGGAATACTTTCACCATTTCGTTTCTCCAGAAGGTATATTTTCCCTTTGTTTTTTTTACTCTTATATATAGATGTAGGTATATCTCTCACCTTCTCTATTTTTTCATAAATATTACGTTACCATTTTTTAATATAAAAGGACAAGGTTGATCCAAAGTTCCAAACCAATCCTGCAAAATGATCTATGTGGTTAGAAGACTATATTAAAAATTTGAGATCTTTGTTTGGCTCATAATTTAATGTTTTTATTTTTATTTTGTAGCTTAATAATATTCTATGCGGTTTGAGATTTGACCAGGAGTGGTATGCAGCGTTTTTTTTTACTAATATTTATTTTATCGTTTATTTGTTATAAGTTGTGTGGTGTGGTTATCTTTGCTTGGTCATTTAACATAATTTATTGTTTGACAAAAAAAAAAAGTTTGAAGACCAAACTTTAAAATTAAATTTGTAAATCAAATGATTTATCATCAATAAGAAATAAACAAGTTAATTAACATTTACGTAATAATTCAATCATCAACAACTTCATCATTTACAACATTTAATTTAAAATTTGGTCTCATTAACATTTCCCTCTTATTTTTTTAATTTTTTTTATTTTTTAAGGATGAAGGAATGTGCTAAGTCTTATAATGGGCTAGCAATAATGTGGTTCAAATTCGCTTTTGGCGAGAATCGAACCTAAAACGTCTCACTTACAAATAAAAAGTAATACTACTAGACCGTAGTACTGAGTGACTAGACTGTAATACCGAGTGACTAAGAGCCTAGCATTACCCTCTTTGCTTTGCTTTTGGAAATGCTATACTCAATTAAAAGCCTTTAAGTCATTAAAAATGGCTGCATTGAATTCTATTTTCTTTTTTTGTTTTCAACTAGAAAATATTGCATGTAATTGAAAAAACAACTTCAAATTTTATCGTGTGTTTTCTTAACTTAATTGTCAGAATATGAGTATAAAAGTGATTGTTATTGCCGGTTGATCCAAATTGGTGCAGAAAAGTCTTATCAAAAGATGATTACTTTGTTCGAATTTACATGGAATTGGACTATTATGTAAACTCCCTTTTACCACTTATAATTTGATAAGGAAATTATTTTGGTCTTCTATGTGAATTATAATAGGAGAATCATATGGATTGTTGAGTAACCATAGCACATCCATCTATTTGTACTATTATATGTACTATCTCTCTAATAGAGGTGAAGTCCACAAACACATGTTGCTCCCATCTCTATTATAAGTGGGAAACAACTTATAATATCTCTCTAATAGACCATCTCCAATCCTGACCTAAAACCTAAAAATATTTAGCTCAGAAAATTTAGGTTTTAGCCCAGAAACAACTTTTCTATTCCAACCCTTTTGACCTAAAATTTTAGCCCCAGATTATCAAAAAATGAATTAAGGCTAATTTTTTTTAAATTAACTTTAAAAAAAAAAATTATGTAGACTATCCTAAATTAATTTTATGAACATTTTAACCTAGAAATATTTAAATTCCGATAAATTTTGAAAAATCACTAAATCAATAATCATGATAAACCACATAAACTTAAAAAAAATAAAATTATTCTAGCCGTTGGAAAAAAATATTTAAATTCCGATAAATTTTAAGATTATTCTAGCCATTGGATTTACATTTGGACCGTTAGATCTTTTTTTTTACCGTTAGATTTGATTATATTCGATTTAAGCCGTTGGATTCAATAAATATATAAATATAAAACAAAAAAAAAATTGAATGTGGACCGTTGGATTAAGCAACGGTCCAATTACTACCACCACCCGATGAAGAAAAGTAGCCGTTGGCTACAGGACAAGGTCCACTTTTCACTCTCATATGTGGGTCCCAGCAGCTTTTGTGGGCTAAATTTGTGACCTATATTTGCCTTCATTTTAAGTTTTAGGTTTTAGGTTTGGTTTAGGTTTTGGGTTGGAGTGGATTTAGGGGGGGGAAAGGGGGAAATTTAGGTTATAAGTCACCATTGGAGATGGTCTTAGGGAGTGATACAAATGATGGTACTGCTCTCATAGCATGTAAGAATAACATTTTTTTATGGATTGTTTGTCTATATAAATAGTGGTCACTGCTCTCATGGCATGTAAGAATAGTATTTCTTTATGGATTGTTGTCTATATAAATAGTGGCCACTACTCTCATAGCAAAACATGCTCTTTATTGGACTTAGACCAATTGTAAGTCAAGCATATTTTTCTACAAGAGAGGAAAAGTTTACTAATGAAATCGACTATGACTTCATCTTCTTCGTTTGTTAAGTCAAATTTATTTCTTACACTTACAAGTGAGAAAATTAACAAATTAACCTCTTTCTGTTGTTGCCTTCAAATTAAACTTACATTTATGTTACTCTCCGGTAAGATTTTTTTATTTTATTTTGATACAAACAATATTCATATTCTAGTTTAAGCTAATATGACCTACAAAAGAGATTTGAACTCGGATGTGTACGCGAACGACATTCGCTCTAGGCAATGTGGTTTCCCCGCGTCTTCCACATATGGTTGTTTCTAAAAGTAAAATGCAAAACTCTGAATCTTTTCATGTAGTTAATATTAAAGATAGAAGCTGGGGCTTGATGAAGGGTATCACTCCCCAAGTGATAAATGTTGTTTTACCAAAACATACCGACACAAATAGTGATAACAACTGAGATGATGATTTATGTTTATTGTAGGGAAAATGCTGATGATGATGTAACAATCAAGGTCCTCTTCTGTGGGGTCTGCCATTCAGACTTACATTCTGCCAAGAACGAATGGGGTTTCACCAACTTCCCTGTTGTGCCGGGGTATCTCGTTAACTCAGATCACTCTGTAAATTTCTCCAATTATATCTGATGGCAATGTGGTTTCATTAATCGCAAAACCGAGCGCAATGGTATTCTAGAATTCATACAATTGACTCCACTTACTGGGATAAGGTTTTGTTATTGTTGTTGTATATCTCATGGCTTTGATTTTTTTGTCTACAACAACAACAACAATAACAAAGCCTTATCCCACTAAGTGGGGTCGGCTATAGGAATCCTAAAACGCCACTGCGCTCGATTTTGTGTCATGTCTTCCGTTAGATCCAAGTAGTCCAAGTCTTTTCTTAGAGTCTTTTTCCAGGTTTTCCTAGGTATTCCTCTACCCCTTTGACCTTGAGCCTTTGTCTTATAGTCATATCTTCTAACCGGAGTATCTGTAGGTCTTAGTTTCACATGTCCAAACCACCTTAACTGATTTCTATCATCTTATCTTCAATTTCGACTACTCTTAATTTACCTCGGAATTCCTCGTTCCTAATCGTGTCATTTCTTGTGTGCCCACACATCCAACGAAGCATTCTCTTCTCCGCTACGCTCATTTTGTGTACATGTTGATGCTTCATTGTCTGTAGGTCTTTGAAGATGTTTTGTGTAACAAAAGTAAAATTTATTGAAGCGTCGCATGCTCTGTTATGTTTTACATCACCTGTCCATTTAGAATTCACCTACTTAGAATCGTTGATAAATGAATTTCATTATATTGGACTGATTGGAGAACAACAGTATATATGAAATGATAATAGGTGATTGCCACTCTTGCAGAATATCAGCTTAGCATGCATATTACCGTTAATTAATATTTTTCATCTAAAAATGGTTGTGTTTTCTGACCAAATATCATCTTAAAAGTCGCATTGACGCGTCGGAATTGCTTGTGGATTCTATATGCTTTTTTCAGCAAATCGCTTCTATTATTCTTAAAAAAGAAAAAACTCTTTCCTTTATGCGTTTGAGATTTTCAGTTGATTTTGCAGGCATGAAATTGTTGGTGTTGTGACCCATACTGGGAACAATGTGGAGAAATTCAAAGTAGGAGATCGTGTAGGAGTTGGGGTCATAGTGGGTTCCTGCATGAAATGTGATACTTGCCAAGAGGACTTGGAGAATTATTGCCCTCAAGTAATATACACCTATAACTCACACCATCATGACCATGACCGAACAAAAACTTATGGTGGTTATTCTGATATGATTGTTGTTCACCATCGCTATGTGCTCCGCTTTCCTGATAACTTACCCCCTGATGCGGGTGCACCACTTTTATGTGCTGGGATCACTGCGTACAGTCCAATGAAATATTATGGAATGACCGAGCCCGGAAAGCATTTGGGTGTGGCGGGACTTGGCGGGCTTGGTCACATCACTGTGAAGATTGGTAAGGCATTTGGTTTGAAAGTGACTGTCATCAGTTCCTCCCCAGCAAAGGAGGATGAGGCAATTAAGACACTTGGGGCTGATTCTTTTCTTCTTTTAAGTGACCCTGCCAAATTGAAGGTAATGATAAACAATAAAAAAGTGAAAATATATGTAATATGTGTGTTTCAGTGTATGTGGATGTGTACATATGCGTGTGTGTGTTTGTGTATAGACGTTCACCTTTAGTTAAAGGACGGACGTCATGCTATGCAGAGAACAACTGTGAATATTTATATCACAACAAAGATTACTGCGAATGTGAGAACGAAACAAAGCTCTTTGATACGACAATCTAAAGGCACTGTTCTCTTGAATTTCAAAAAAACAATCTATAAGGAAAAGAAAGAATTGATTGTGCTGCATGTTCTGCAGATGGATGCCACAATGTTCTTATGGTTCCTCTTCTCAGAATATTGAAAGTTTAGTCCATTTCCTAATTACTTGTACTAAATTTTTGCTTAACTACTCAGGAAGCAATGGGTAGCATGGATTATATCATTGACACAGTGTCTGCAGTTCATGCCCTGGCTCCATTAATCGGTCTACTGAAGCTGAACGGGAAGCTGGTCACCGTGGGTTTGCCTGACAAGCCCCTGGAATTGCCTATCTTCCCTTTAGTTTTGGGTGTGGTTCTACAACAACTTGACTGTTTCTCTTATGAATTATCTTCTGATAGAATTTGCATTTTTTTTCCGTACATAGGAAAGGATATACCACTTAGTGGGATGAGGCTTTGTTGTTGTTGTTGTGTATTGGAAAGGATATAGATGTGCAAATTTAACCTGCTTTCCAGACTTATATCTGGAGAAAGATAAAATGTTAAATTGCTTGAAGATTTATCCATGAATTCTAAACAAATAGTAATTAACAAACTGCTTAATTTTATCCCTCTGATGGTTTGTTTTGAACTTTGGTGCATGTTAAACCCATCCAGGTATAGTGAACACCGAGCGTTCTAGAAACATGAACTAATACTCAATTTCCGTAATTTTTCTAATTAATCATGGCATGGCATTCAGGGCGGAAGCTTGTAGGGGGAAGTGACATAGGAGGGATGAAAGAGACGCAGGAGATGCTTGACTTTTGTGCCAAGCACAACATAACCTCAGACATCGAGCTGATTCGAATGGATTACATTAATACAGCAATGGAACGACTTGCCAAATCGGATGTCAGGTATCGGTTTGTGATCGATGTGGCAAACTCCCTGACTTAGTAGACTGTCTATGATGCCTAGACGGCTATGGTTTTGAGTTGCTGGTGATTAAAAATAAGCTATGTTTGGTAATGATATGGAAGTTTTCGGTGGAGATAACATAAGAAAATTTGTGGTCCTGGACACTTGGTGGTTGTGCCGGTCTAGTTATATTGATCTTCCGCCATTTTCTGTTTGATGTTTCTGAATCTGACGATAGCATATGTATAAACTTTCGCCTGCTCCTTTTGCTATATATTTCTTGTCTCTTCCCTGCTTGGATTTTGTTGATATGCCTTAGTTTTTCTTTTTCTGTTTCTTATTTTCTAGGTCAAACCAAAGCTCCTGTAGTTTTTGTTAATCTGTGACTTTAACATCTCTATTGAAACAAAGTGTCAGTATCGTCAAACAGTCTAACATGTTATGTTATGAGATTGTTAATTTTATACTATTGATGTTAATCTAAACTACTAATCCAACGGATTTTACAACACGCCGGCTATTTCTACAGTGTGGTTCCATATTTGGAAAGATATTAGTACCCCCTGCAGATTTCTAGGTCTCTTGTTGTTTGCTTCTGTTTATGGAGATCCTTAAGATTGGTTAACAATTTAACAGTCACCTTTCTTGTTTTCTTTTCAAATGATTGTTATAATTGATTGTTACTGCCACAGATTTATAGAATAATTGCTCATTTTTCTCATCAGAGTACATATATTTAATTTGCCATAACAAGCATCACAGATATACATTTGTTCACTGTTGAGACCATTGTTACACATCAAGAAACTAAAAAGCAAAACTTATTGGGTTTTGCATTGGACGCTCTAATTCCATCATCCCTTCCAAAGACTATCAATATCATTCATATCTCATTTACATTTTCGAGATATGTAAATATGATTATAACTTATACACTAATAAGGAAGATTAAATTTTGAGATCCCGTTTATTTATCTCTTTAAATGGCGGGACAAACCTCTTAGGGCATCTCCATTGGAGAGATGCAAATTTGAAATGTAAGAGCTATATTTACATCCCATTTTATATTTATGGAAGATGAAAATGGGAGTTCTACTCTAATGGCGAAATTTACTTGTCTCAATCCAATGAGAGACACTTGAGTGGACCTACCATTTAAAGTTCAATTTAACGAGCCACTTGGTTCCACAAAATTATGGAGGAAGTCCTACAAAAAAAATAGTTCGTGACTGATTCAGAAAACATTTTGCTTAAGATGAGAATTGTTCATAGTATACATCACTTTGTAAAGATCATAAATACGAAAGGTTAATAAAATATAAGATTGTTTATATCAAACTGTATAAAAACTTAAGGTTGTAATCTGAAAAAGAACCCTTTATCTATGTAAAAATACTAGACAACCAAGTTTAATTGAGTTTTTCCAGATTAATTTTTACAAAATATTTTATAATATAAAAAGATTTTGATCATAATTATGTGAATCAGCCACAAATTTTTTTGAGGAGGAGTTCCTTAACAATTTTGTGGAGCCATTTAAAGCATCTCTTCCAATCGAATCAGTTCACACCATCTCACTATAAATATGACATCCATATATCTACACCATTCCATGCGAATGCAACATTTTAGTGACGGAGTCTTGTACTCACAGAAAAATGGCATATTATTCTATTCAGTGTCTAGCCGGTTTCTTCTGTTTGATAAGCTTTCTTCATGTTCTACTCTTCCAAGCCTTGGTTTGGGGATCTCATGTTCCAACACAAGGGTTTGTTTCCCTCCCTTTTAACCGATCATACTACCACATTCAGAAGCCTTACGATGTTCCCGAAAATCAGCGCTACAGCTTCATCAATGGAGTTCATAAATGTTGGGTCTACTCCACGGACAAACCTCACACTACTACCAGCCAAACCCTGCCTCGTACCGAGATTGCCATACAAGTAAGCCATGCATACCAAATCACAATCGACTAGCCTGTTAACGCTCTCGATATATAATCTAAATCGCTTGTTATATAACGATCATGTACAATCTAAGTTTCTGTATATATATGTTTATATTCTTGCGTATGGATTGCATTCACAGGGATACGGTTACTCTTCTGGTGTGTGGGAATTTGAAGCATATGGGTATGTGCCTTATGGGACATCAGGTGTGTGCATAATGCAAGTTTTCGGAGCAACTGCTCCTCATGCCACAACCCTAATGCTTAGGGTTTACAATGGCTCACTCACATACTACAGGGAAACGGTTCTGGTACCCGACATCTACGATAAATGGTTCAAGCTCAATGTGATTCACGATGTCGATGCTGCGAAAGTGAAGGTCTACATCGATGGACGCCTCAAATTAGAGGCAGATGGTCGCGGAGGGACGTCTCATGCATTCAAATGTGGTGTATACGCCCAGAATAATGACTCGTGTTATATGGAGTCTCGTTGGAAACACATTAAAGTTTTAAGGAAGTGCGGGCATTGAACCATTTCCTATGATATATAGAAATTAATGTGAAGTAATGTTAAAGCTTCTGTGCTCGTCATCACTCATGCATGCATGAATAAATATTTAAACGATTGATGCATGCATAAAAGAAATAAATTGAAGTTGAGTTATTTGCAAGTGGAAAAATGAGATCATCCTCAATAAGAGAATGCAAATATCTCATCCTTATCAAATAATGCATCTTCACTGCATAATTTTATTATCAAAACCGTTCAATTTCAGAATACTCTCACAATAGTCATTTGATCTCTTCTAAAAAAAATTATTTTCTGATTTTTTTTTTAAAGAAAGTTCCTTTAATATTTGTTTGTTGTAAGCTTCAACGACAACATAATAATGAAAGTTGAAAGCTGGAACAACAACATTGGGCAGACAAAAGAATTCACTAAACTATTTAAACAAAATAAAAAAATGATGTAGACTAGTAAACAAAATTTGCTTGTAAACATATGAGGAACCTGAAATTGTTGGAACGAATAAGCCAAATACAAATGATGGTATCAATTGATAATATATTTGATATTGTCATCATTACCGTGTTAAATTAGAAGAACAATACTTGACTATTCAAAGATGAGTAGGAACTCCTACTCAAAATTCTTAGAGTTTTAATCACGAAGCTTTGAGATTATGATAAAAACCGTTCATACTATAAATCACATTGTAAAGATTATCTCTGCAAAAAATAAATTAAAACTAAGGTCGTTTAGTCAACCTATTATAGCAAATACATAGACGGTTCATATGTTTTTACCAATACCGTTTATTTTGTTTTAAACAGTTTGATGACTAAACAACCTTAGTTTTAATTGAATTTTTTTTAGAGGAGATCTTTATAGGATGATTTATAATATGAACAGTTCTGATTATGAACACGAAGTTCTATTAATTGACAACGAACAATTTTGAGAAGTTTTGAGTAGAAGTTCCTACTCATCTTTAAGTAACTAAGTATTATTCAAATTAGAAGCCCGTGAACCTCACTATTCCATGGACCAAAGAAAAAAAATAATAATATGACACTTACAATTATTTATTTTTTGTGGAAAATTTTACGGTCCCTATTAAAAAAATATTTGTACCCTTTATTTTAATAATATTTTTCTGTAAGCCTATTTTACTATACTATTCTAGGGGAAATAAGGAGAGGGGGCTGACGGTAAGGAGAGAAAGAGTAAAGAGATTTAATTGTGAGGTGTGTTATATTCCATCTCATTATGCCTTTATTTATAATAGTAGGGAAGGTTAATTCCTTACCCTAATAGGATTACAACTCTAATTAGATAGTATCTAACCTTAGAGAATCTTCTAAAGATATCCCAAATACATTAGGATATACACAATCACATTCCTATATTAAATATGAGTGCAACACTCCCCATTGAGTGCATAAATACTCAAACAAAACATGCATCGGGTCTTCAGCAAATGAAGTAGATCAGTTGATGAAGTCGCCGACACAATGAGCGAATGCGAGTCTCAAATTAAAGAAAGTATGCATTGGTAGTAAAACTCATAAAATCTTGCTATGGTAAAACCTAAGGCAGGTACAAAACCGTTAGACTAAGGAGAAGAGTGAGAAGTATGCAAAATATCTAAAACAAACGTCATACAGGACGAAAGTAATGAACCTTAAAGAGCATGATCATCCCAGGGTGAGTGCCTCATCAAAACCTCGTTAGGTAGCAAAAACCCTATGGAAAAAATGCTCCTAATTGTAGGAAAAAGAGTACATTAAGATAAAGTGAGTATACTACGGGATACTCCCCTTGAGTTAGACATAACTTCCAAATAGGAGAACTATAAGTAATTTAACTCTGATATTTTACGCATACTGATTCCTTGGACGAGCTTCTGAAAAGAAGACTTGGGCAATGATTTCGTGAAGAGATCAGCCAGGTTAGCTTGGGAACGGATTTGTTTGATTTCAATGTTTTGATGCTGTTGTTGCTGATGATAGTAAAAGAATTTCGATGCAATGTGTTTGGTGTTGTCTCCCTTAATGTATCCCTTCTTCAGTTGCTCGATACATGCTACATTGTCTTTAAATATCGTCGTAGGAAGGTCAACGACGGTAGAAAAACCGCTAGTGCTTCGAATGTGTTCCATGATTGTTCTCAACCAAAAGAATTCATGCAAGGCGAGAATCTCAGCATGGTTCAAAGAAGTCGCAACTAGTGTTACCCTTGAGGTAGCGGAAAATATCTTTAATACCATTCAAATGTCTGCGTGTAACGCATTGTTGTATCTTGCCAAAAGATTAACAGCGAAGAAGATGTTGGGTCTAATGCATTGAGCTAAGTACAATAAATGACCAATTACACTTAGGTATGGAACTTCAGGCTCCAAAATCTCTTCCTTATCCTTCTTGGGACAAAAGGGATCTCATTTAACATCTAGAGTATGAACGACCATAGGAGTACTCGAAGGCTTTGCTTTATCCTCATTAAAATGTTGCAACACTTTCTAGGTGTAGTTCGATTGATGTACTAGTATTCCATCCAAACAGTGCTCGATCTCTAGGCCGAGATAATATCGAGTTTTCCTAAGATCCTTCATCTTAAATTCTAATTTCAAGTAAGCGACAGTTTCCTCAAGCTCTTCGGGAGTTCCGATGAGGTTCATGTCATCGACATAAATTGCAACAATTGAAAATCTGAAATGTGACTTCTTGATGAACATACATGGGCATAGATCATTGTTCACATAACCCTGATTTGCTAAATATTCACTCAGACGGTTATATACCACATCCGCCTATATTGTTTCAATCCGTATAGTGATCTATTCAGTCAAATCAAAAGGGTGTTCCATGGTCTAAAACTATTTGAACTAGTCAATGGAAGTCATTCGGAAACTTTCATATAGATTTCCATATCTAGATCTCCATAAAGATAAGTAGTTACCACGTCCATATGTTGCATATTCAATTTTTCGGAAGCTACCAAACTAATAAGGTAGCAGAACGTTATGATGTCCATTACAAGGGAATATGTCTCCTCGTAATCAATCTAGAGCATTAAGAAAAGCCTTCCACTACAAGACGTGCTTTGTATTGCACTATTTCATTCTTCTCATTACGCTTCCTTACGAAAAACCTACTTGTAGCCCACGAGCTTCATATGTGGTGGAGTAGAAGCTACTGGTCCAAACATCTTATGTTTCGCAAACGAATCGAGTTCGACTTGTATTGCTTGTTTCCAGTTTGACCAGTCAGTTCTATGTCAACATTCATCAGCAGAAGGTGGTTCAATGTCTTCGCTAAGCATGATGTCGGTAGCTACTGTGTACGTAAATGCATCGTTGACGATCATCTCATTCCGATTCTAAACCTCATCCAATATTATGTAACAGATTGAAATCTTGTGATTCTCGGGAGGGCAGTTTGTTTTGTTTAAGACATCATCGTAATCTAGAATAACCTCATGCATTAGAACAGATGAGTAAGTGATGGTCGGATACATCCTAGGTTCATTAGTTTGTGCCATTTTCCTCTTTTGGGGTTGTGAATCCTTTTGAACCAATGAGTTTTCCACACATCAAGGTAGGACTAGATGATTGGCTAGCCGCTAATGTACCAGACCACGTGGAAGGTGCGGCCGACCTTCATTTGGGGATGGCTTGTCCTTCTAGGGCAATGTTACAATGTACTCTTGGTATGTCAATCGTTGCAGGTGCATTTGTAGTAAGTATACATAGAATTTACAAAGTGTATGTCAGCATAAAGATGTGTCTTTATTTTGAATGAAAGAGCTGTGAGTTGGAAAAACAATATGTTGAAGTGCATAATACTATCCACATGAGAAACAAAATACGATTATGCTTCAAATGCCATTTAAGAGGTTGTTTTGGATAAAGAAGTTCATAAGTGAACTTGGATGGTGTGATACTCAGGCTTATATGTATGAGTATGAAGATATATGAATGCGCAATAAAGAATCTACCACCATCTGGTAATTGTTTAATAGAATGAAAATCCTTCAAAGCCACTTGAAGATTTATCTCAGAAATCTTTGCCCAAAGTACTTGTTGATCAAGCTATGTTTGTATGAATTGCTTCAACATGAGATGCACCATGACGATCATACATGACTACATGTGATTTGACATATTCAGATCACATTAATCTTGATTAGGATATGAATGATAGAAGAACTGAATTTCATTTTAGCTACAATCAAGGTTCGAGAGAGTATCATGATTAGTTCATGTATACTTCTATAATCAAGGTCAAGCCCATGACATCAAAACCTTATGAGGGGTGTGGTAGAAAGGGGCAATGCGTCTATAAATACTCCTTGTGTTTTCTTTCAAACCCTAAGAGTATCTAGTTTTAGCCCTCAGAGAAAAGAAAGAAAAAACCTAAGCCAAATACACCTTGTGTCGTCCATTCTGTATTGATCCAAGTGAAAGATATTGCTAGTACATTTAAATCAATCACTTCATTATCCGTTGCTACATTTATAAGTGTGGATACTCTTAGAGGCTCAACACTTGGGGAACTTCACATGGTCAATCATGAAGAGGAAGATTGCAAGTATAGGGATGATCCAATCATGCAACATGCACATGGCTAGATGTTTAAGTAAGTTAATCTCTTTGACTTGTTCTTTGTTGCATCACCAATTACAACCAACCAGAGATATATAATTGAGATAACATATTGTGTGTTGTTAATATTTTTTGGCTAAATAGCCAAAATGATCCCTGAGATTGAAAATCAATAGAACTAGTCCCTGCAATTGTCCACCATCCATGATTTTGGTCTTTCCGTTAAAAACTATTTGGGAAATTTTAAAAGCTTCGTAACTCAATCGATTCTTAACCAAATTTGACACATAATATATCAAAATGAAGATAAGAAAGTGTAGAACAAGATTATATCTATTTAGAAGCCCAATGGATGTCGGAGATGGCTGGAAAATAGCCTGAAATGTGACTGGTCTGTGGGAAAACTAGAAAACTCACCGTAAATT